GAGCTATAAGTATCCCACGTCGTAGAACGTTGACGTATCGTGCGAACACGCAGGATGCTTTAACAAATAACTAATAGAGTGTACGAATAAATCCCGAGTGTGAATTTTAATCTGCGTCAAATCCTTTCTACTCGTTAACGCGTAAGCTCTTTCGCAAGTCTTATCTCCCGTTTGATTTGCATCCCACAAAAATTATTTCCATTTCGCTTTCGACGAACGAGAATCGAAAAACGGCCGTGACAGTTTCTCGCGCGACGAGTAGAAATCCCGAGGGGGAAACCATTGACCACAATAATCTTGTACACCAATGCCCACTAATGCCCAGTGGGCATGACTTTATCTTATTATCTTATTTTATCTTATTTTATCTTATTTTATCTTTATAATGCCCCAGCAAGGCCTAAATGCCCAAACTAATGCCCAAAAAATGCCTAGTAATGCCTAGCAATACCCAGTAGTGCCCGTAAATCTGTATTCCGTTCGTATCTCTCGCGGTCGCTCGCACCGGATAAAACGTTTCCAAGGGAGCTACCGATGCATCGCTCCGAAATTCCTCGTGGCCGCCGCACGCAATTAATAAATATCGCCTGGTACAATTTATGATTCGCGCTGTGCCATTAATCATGCGCGCGCGCGCGCATCGCCGATGCCGCCTGTTCCGGACCGAGCAGGTGGGGAATCGATAACAGAGATGCATTAGAATATTATGACCTTTCAAAGTGCATTCGGTGATTCACCGCGGGAGCCGCGATAGCGCGTTATCGCGGCGACTACTCGCGGCGCGGGTCGATGTTATCGCGCCGCTATACTCCCGGCTAATCGAGACAAGCGAGAAAGGGAGAAAAGGAAGAGGCAGGGTGCCTGACCTCGCTTCCTGAATCGTTCAGGGCGGTGGCATCTCTCCGAGGAGTGCTCGGCGAACGCGGAAAGCGCTCTGTGCAGGCACGTCGCGATTGCGCCAGCGCTCGTGCAATCAAATCAACCAGATAATCTTTGATTTCAGCCAGACAAACGTCAGCTCGTTAAGCTTATTCTTTATCAACGTGCATTATACGAATATACAACCGCGCCGCGGATGCGATCTGCATTTTTCGCACTTCAATTTTATACCTTGTCTGTGCACTTGATTAGTTTCATCTAATCTTCATTGGTTTTATTGGATCAATTTCAATCTCAATTAAGAGGACGCCGGAGTGATTCTGCACCGTCTGCATCTAGAACTGTCAATTCATGAAAATGTTTGTGCAATATACAAATTGTGTGGCTTTTGTGTATAAACCGACGGTGTTCCGCTGTTCGGACTAAATCAGAGAACAGCGCGGTATTATTGAAATTAAGTTGAGAAGCCTAATTAAAAAGATCTATTCACTCGAGTAAGTCACAGTAGTGAATCCACCACATCATTTATATATTACACAAATATTTTCATTTGGCAGTTCTGGGAGCAATAGGTGCAATAAGTGCAGAATCACTCCAGCATTCCCTCAAATACGAAAAGCTTAATTTATAATTCTGCGATTCCAACGCGATAAACCGTGATCGTACTAATTTTTAATGAATTTCTTAATAACATTTCAACATAATCTTAATTCCGAATCTGTTTAATGTTCCAACTAAAGACACAAACTGCATTGAAATTTGTTTTTCATCAAGATTTTTGCGACTTAAACAAATGAAAACGATCGAAAATTGTACAAGCTGTTGAAGTGACTCCGCTTAGGTACCGAGATCTAGGAAATCGTGTCTTTAATTATAACCGCTGTAGACACCGCGGTGCACCCAGTGCGAAAGCGTTAATCTTAATAACAGAGGAAATCCCGCGGTGCGTAATTTTCGCGCCATTACATTTTTAGCGTCACGTGTCTCGTTTATTCCTCCTTCCTCTTCTCATTCTCCGCCACGAAACGCCCCTCGAAGCATGTTCGAGAAAATTATGCGTACGCGAATCGGTCAAAGCGGCCGCTGCGCCGCGGATCGTGATTTAAAGTAATCTCGGTACGGATCGGCGCGGACACCGCGACCGGATGCTATCGTGTCGCCGCCGACTCTACGCGTGTCCGGCAAAAATCCGCGCGCCTCAATGTCATTATCCCAAACGAGATAACGCGGCATCACCCCGGCCGGTGGGATACTCCACCGGGCGCGCAGGGGCGAATGCATCCTTCGGTAGGCGAGGTATGCGGGGCCTTACGCTGCGCGCGTAAGCGCACTCGCGGGAGCGCGTGCACTCGCGGAGAGCCGCATTATCGCGGGATTACGTAAGCGCCGAGCCGCGGCATACGATCGCGCTTGTATTACGCTATAATTAGGACCGGACCCGGCCGTCGTAACCGCGCACACAGATATACGCGCGCGCGCTCGCGCGGGCGCGCACATTGCACGCGTATGAGCGCGACGTTACTTACGGCGCGTAATCCGCGCCGTATTAATAACCGGCGATAAACGTTAACGTGCGCCGCCGTCCGAGTCTCTTTCTCTCTCTTTCTCTCTCGGGACTACGGGAAGAGGAGCGTAAACTGCCGCGCGCGCGAATGCCGAGGACTACGAATCTCGATAGCGCGGGGATTAGAGAGCGCTTTTTCAGGGAAGAGGTCAACATCGAGCGCGCTCTCCGTTTGCGTTATCAAAACGCGGCTTGGTCTCCCACGACGAGCCGAGCGCGCGCTCGTCGGAATATTTGAAATTCTGCGCGGAGTTTGCGCTCTTACCGCCGCCGGATCGGCTCCAAAGTGACCGACGCGATTCGGGTATTAAAGCGAGCAGCACCCGACAGTTTGCTGCAGGTTGCGGCACTTTTTTTTTCTAAATGTCCATGTAATCGTCCGACATTAAGGAAAGCAAACTGGTTTTGCGTGTTTGCAACGAACGTTTGACCGGCGCGCGACTTATTTATCTTTAGCCTCGATCTTGCGAGCGAGGTGAAAAATCACGGAAAGGTACACACCACGTATAGCGCGTGTGGGAGATACCGCATTGTATATCCTCAATGCTCAAGTATAATTGCGTGGTGTGGAATCGCGGTAATCGATATCGTACAAACGAGGGGGAAACCGCTGACCAAAATCTTGTACACCAATGCTCACTAATGCCCAGTGGGCATTACCGTATCTTATTTTATCTTATTTTATCTTTATAATGCCCCAGCAGGCCCAAACTAATGCCCAAAAAATGCCTAGTTATGCCCAGTAACGTCCAGTAATGCCGCAAATCTGTACACCACAATGCCCCCAGCGGTTTACCCCACGCTTACAAAGGACAGTAATTTCGCCGAAGAAAGTAACGCACCCCGTGGTTACAGAACGCATGCTGAGAGAGTATTCGTTCAATCAAACGACATTAAAGTGCACCGATATAAATTCTCGCATTGCATTGCGTGAAAAAGGATTCCTTCCAAATCTTTCTCGCGTGAACCTGATCGAAATAAGTGCTCGTTTTTCGCATTTAAGAACAGAGGGCAGGACGGTCTCGCCGCTCTGTACACCTCATAATCAATTCCCGATTGAGCGCTACTAAATGAACACGCTTGCACAGCTAGCGATCGCGAGTAGACGCGACCGCGTGGACGAAAATCAAGATCTCGCCGAGGCTCGTTCCCGACGTGCGCTTGATTAATACCCAGATGTAATTACGGGCCGCTTCGGGGGAAGGGCGGATGCGAGAGAAGAGGGCAGGCAACCTTCTCCTCGTTGTGCGTGCCCCTCTCGCCGGGTCGTGTGGGAGGAAGGTGAGAACAGAGATCAAATACATCGTACGAAGTACGAGGAGAAAGAACCAGACGAAAAGGCGAAAAGAAGAAAAAGAAACGGGGAGAGAGAGAGAGAGAGGGGGAGGAGGGGGAGAGAGCAGAGAGAGCTCCGTCGAGCTGCCGACGGAACGAAATCCTGACAGATTTCATCGTGGGCTGACGTAAACAATTTGCGAATGTAAATACCTGTTGAATATTGAGCGCGCTGGCAGGGCCCACGGGGCCCCACGCCGGGCCCCCAACACCTTGCGATCGTTTACCCTTTAAACTCGTGATTACCATCCAGCGCCGTCTCCCACCTACCGCGGCGAGGCGTGTAAGTCATCGGCATAAATTATACGCGAACATCGCGCGGCGATGCCGGGGATCCTTCTCGCCACTTCGTCGAGGGGGAGATATCCTTCGGCCCTATCCGTTCGGATCCGCGCGCGCGCGCCAAGAGACGCAAAGTAGAAAACGATCGGGACATCCTTGACACGCGCGGGATCTTTAAAAAGCAAAAGAGTGGACCGGCGCCGGCTCGTATTTCGCGCATTAAAAATAAAAACGCAAGCTTCCTTCGCTATCGGCGCGACGTGAGCCTCGGCCGATAGTTAAGTGAATTAAAGAGTAATGCAGATTTAATTCAGTAATGAGAAGGCTGGGCGAATGAAACGATGTATCATGGTAAATTACAGAGCTGCGATCCCTTGCGGTGTTATCACCTATCCAATTAACATTTGTACATTGATATCGAAGACGTACAGTTTAGATCGTTTATCGCCTCGTGGATTTAGGGCAATAAAGCTCGGTGGCGCGTGTAACATCTCGTCCGATTATTAATAAGTTCGTAGGGGCGCAAGAGCTTATCGGCTTATCAATGATTAAATCACTCGGATAATCCCGCATCGTGGCTTCGGAAGCGTGAGATAGCGGGCAAGTACTCGTGTTGAGATAATTGGTGATCTCCCGCGATCGATCTCGATGCCGATAAGTAGCAACCGACATTTCAGATAACTTTCTCGCTTCCACCGCATTTAATTACTATCGACGATTATAACGGGAACGCGGTGCGTATCGCTAACGGTTCGTGATAAACACTGCGTACGGCGTGCAGCGCACGCTCGCGCGCGCGTTTTCCACGCGCGACTTTTCCGCGTGCGCCGCGCCGGCCTAAACCCAGCACTGTGTCAAGGGAAACATCTCGGCACGTCGTTAAACTGGATCGCCCGTCGCGCGGGTTTTGTAATTATGTGAAAAACAAAAGCTCACTCACCATCCTGGTTCATTCCGTGCCCGCCATCATCTGTTTGAAACAGAAAAAGAGAATTAAGACGTGCAAATTGAAATCTGAAGAGATGCGTAATCAAGATCCCCGCCAAATCATGTATGTATAATACATTTAAACGAACGACACCAAAAAAAAACAGGTACTCGCCATTTATTCGTTTACTCAAAGTGTCCGATCGCATGTTAATTGAAACGTTAGTCTGTAATCATGCGCCGTGCCGTTCTCTGAATTGTAATCAGTATCCTCGACGAAGCTATACTTCCGAAGAGCAGGAATAATCAAGTATTCTAATATAAGTAAAGAGACGCTAACAATGTTCCCCCCCGGAGCCTACTTCGATAGCGTAACACGCGATGCGTGCTGCCGCGAGAAATAACGCCGCGTTTCCATCTGGAAACACAAAAATCCATCGGAAACGGAAGTCCCGCCGTACGAGATCCGCGACCTCCCCGATGGGATATCGCGAGGGAGCGGACGAGCGCGCCTCGCGAGGATTCAGGATCGCACGTTGCCGCGGATCATGACGACTCCGCAACGCGCCAGCCACGATAGCAGCAGCCTGCACACGGCAACCTATTTGTACCGCGCGGACCTGGTATCGCGCGATCGCGCGGTGTTCCTTTATTTAACCCCATAAATAACCGTCGCTATCTCACCCCGAATGTTTTCCTATAGGCAACGGACAACAACAACAACGTATACGTGTGCATACAATAAAACGTGTTTCCCTGTATGCACACGGTACGAAATATAATATATTAGATGCTGCCAGTCATCCTGGTGTTGCGCGAGCCTGGCGCGATGGGAATCCCCATAAGCGATCCGTGCGTCCATCCAGCGGAAAGAATAACTTTCGCGAGGAGATTAAAGCGTGGTATGTGTTACCCGCTCGATAATGGCTCGCGCTTTTAATCCCCCTCCCCTTCCTCCTCTTCCTTCAAGTTGCAAGCTATACGATGACTTTTTTTTTGTAACGCGAAAAATTTCCTATCGCGCGCTTCTCGCATTGTACACACTGAGAGGCCCATTTTGAATGAAATCAAATTTATGTTCTTCTCAGCAACATATTTTTCGTTTTATACAACCGAATTACATGTTCAGTCAACAAAATGATTCAATCAAATTATTCCGTTTCATTCAACAAAATGGGTCTCTCGGTGCACAAAGAGAATTCTCTTAAAGTTCCTTTTTAAAATCGTGGGACCACACGGCATTTCGAGAAATTTTATGAGAGTTTCCAATATACTAGTAAAATTCCAAATAACTTTTATAAATTTGTTCGAAATGCCGTGTTGTCCCACGATTACATCATTTTCAGGGTGAATTTTAAGAGAAAATTCCCCTTCCGTGTAGATACGGTACGAGATGCACGGTGCGAATTATAATCGAATGCCATTGCACGGAGCTGCATGTGCAAATATAAATTATTCCAAACACACGGCAAAGAACGTAGGCAGTAATCGACAGCCACGTGTTTCGTGTAGCACCGCATTCTTGAATATCAGAGTATCGGATATTAATGCGAATTGCTAAATAAGTCGTCTGGCACACCAAACGGTCGAACGTACCAAGCGACCTGTTTTGCGCAATGCATCCAGATTGACGCCTAATATGTCGGAGAAAGGCATGGGTCTCAATATACTCTTTTTTCGCAAAGTAATTCAGTGAAAATAAAATGTTGGCTAAATTTAGGTGATCGGAGCCTTTCACGAAACCAGTTCCACCTCTAGAAAATGACTTTCTTTTCGCGCAGGTTCCAAAAAAATCATTACGCTCTCCGCGCTGTCGTTCTATAGCCGGCGTTAAATCGGGAACTTTTCGATCGTGGAACAACGGACAATCCGGGTCTAAATGGAGCGGCGATTAGTCACGACGAAATCCAAACCAAGCCACCTGGACGGCGATCTGGATAAGAGGTGTACAGTGACGGACAGAATGGTTGCAACTCCGGTTTTTAATGAGTTTAGAAACGCGCGTTTAGATTCCGAAACATTTTCTCCGAGAAAAATTTTACTCGAGAAATAAGTCGAAAAAATGCTGAAAATGGTTTCGGAATGTGGCTATTGAGTAAAATATTCCTCGGAGAAGATTTTGGAACGTAACCCTGTATCTCATTGCACATTCCTAAACTCATTAAAAAACAAATGTGATTTTTCGACGTTTCGGAAAATTTCTAACACATTGGCAAAGAACATTGCTCTGCGAAAAAAAGACAGTTAAGCAACCCATTTTGGGGCCCACAATTAGTAATCAAATTATTTGGATTGTTCGTAACTCTACTCTGGGAAAAATTTTGACCGTTTTTTTGCAACTTAACATTTCGGTTAGTGCCTCTTAAGTGAAAATTATCTTTGGATACCGAGTATCGATAAAACTAATTGAGAGAATTGGTTAGTATTTCTTTAAAATCTAGGATATATAGATAGAATAGCTAATTGCGATTTGTAGTTACGCGAGGTAAAATTCGTAAAAGATTAGAGTGTTACGAACAATCCAAATAATTCGATTACTACTTGTGGGCCCCAAAATGGGTTGGTTAACTGTCTGTTTTTTTCCCCAGAGTGAGAATCAATTTTTTTCACAAAAACAAAGCTTCCTCCACGAGGGAGGAAAAAGTGTTGCAACCATTCTGTCCACTGTACGAAATAATTGCTGTGTGTCGCGAGGTCAATAAACCATGTAATTCACTACGGTTCGCGTTGCGTGTACTACACGCGACACGCACGCAGGTGGGCATTAATTACAAATTAATTCCATTGCGTGGTTACGCACCATTAGAGATAATCGAAATCCGCTCTGCCTGGCGATTGCCTTAGCGACGCGTAATTTCGCAGGTACAATTAAAAGTATATCTGTTCTGCAGACAACGAGAATCAGGAGGAGAAACTACAAGCACGAGGGCGTTGCGTGGAAACCTGGCGAGTGCTAGTCATTAATAACGACGTACGCACGGGACACGCGCTGGACACGCGTGTGGCCCTAAAATTGATCCGCGGATCTCTCCGTCAAATCCGTTGATATCATTAGATTTAACGATCCGCGTTGACTTTCTTTCTCCTCCCCCCTTTCTCCATTCTCTCTGGCCCCGTGGCTCATGCCGCGTCACTGGCTGCTGCCACGGCGGCTGCCTTTCATCTTCCTTAACCAGCCCCACTCTCTACCCACCACGCGCACGTTCATTTGTGAGGACGAGGAGGACGAAGGAAGACAACGAGCTTCTACATCGGCCCAACCAACCGTTGGCTGGAAGAAGCTATCGCTTCCAAGATGATCCTAACGTATCCATGCGTGCGCGCGTGTCACGTGTGAGAGCTTGTACGTGTTGAAAAATATAATACGACGATCGCGCCCACCAAGGAAGAAACTATCGCTTCTAGGATGATCCTGCCGTGGCTGCGTCACGCGCGCGTGTATCTGTGTATCCGGAGAGATCCCCGGGCGGCGCGCGAGCGCCGAGCAAGTTGAGCTAACTCGATTGTTCCGTACGGAACAAGGAGCTCTTTCACGCGAGAGTCTCGTTCCGGCGGCCTTTGATGGAGGAATCATCGCTCGCGGTGTCCCCCCGGTACGTAACGTCGCTCCACCGGATGCGCGCCGTCGATACGGGATTTAATAAGCTTGCGGTTTGCAGCGAGATAATGATGATAAACGGTAGGAGGTGCCGCCGGGTGCGGGAATGTGAACTTTTGAGTGTTTAACGCGCTTTCATGTGCGATTCGTGACTCGGAGAATATTAATGATCGCGTATAGAAGCGCGGTATAGAATTTGCGATGAGTAATTTGCAGAGCTCTCCTGAGAGACGTCGAGATAAATGCGCCGCCTATTCCGAACGATAAGTAATTACGAGGTAATTGATATGATCCAGATAGTTAAATTATCGCCGCAATTTCAAATTGCGCCGCCTCGCGAACTTGCGTTTTAAAAATCCGCTCGGTCGGTCACCGCTGAGGGACACGCGCGCGCGCCGAACAGCGAGAATCTCGCGCGACCGCGAGAGTACCGGAAAGCGCATTCGACGGATTCCGGAATTCCAGCTTGACTTGGCGAACGTGATGCATCGTCATCGCGTGCGCATAAGTCGCCGGTAATAGAAGCGTCGCCGCGCGCGCGCGCGGACGAAGATTTATCGCCGGCATTTCGCGAGGCACGTGCCTGCACTTTTTTTGCCACTACGACATTCCTATCGGCTGTGCACCGTGCTCGCGTTTAAGCCGTTCGCTCGATTGACGCGTACGTTGTCTTGTTCGTGATGTTGGGGCAATCATCGAGCGCGATATCGAAAGGTAGGCTAATTATCGGTTGTGGTATCGCGTATATCGTAGCGGCCAAGAATTCATGACGAAAAGAATAACGATTGCGGCAAAACACTCGCGTTAATCGTTACAGTCAATTATAAAAAGTCTACAACCGTCATTAATTAATGTTGATTATCGCGAGAACTGATCATACTTGTCTCATTTATTGTAAAAACGATTCTCTCTTATCTCGATCGAAAACAATGTTTCTAGTTCCTCGCGATAATCTTACGATTAAGTCTTAGCGCCTATACGTGAAAAGTAACCAAATTGGATTCGTAAGAAGAAACATACGTTTGTTCTTGGAGTCCTCATGCATACCTCCGGGTGTTGCAGCGCCGTGATTATGATGATGGAGGGATAGGGGGTCCTGGGGATGCGGGTGAATGGCGGCTAAGGCACTTCCGGCTGGGTCACCCGGATTGACCCCGACTCCGACCCCCAGGTGTAGAGCACCATGCTGCGTCGCGTGTGCCGGAAGCTCCATGCTGATCATAGCACGCCACCCTCCTTCCAACCCTCTCCTCCCGCCACCCTCCTCTATCTCGGACAACACCTCGCCGAGTTGGACGAGGCGTCCGTTGAACTCCTCGTCGCCTTCTAAACAGAAGAGGAAAAAAATTATTCGATTTTCTCTATGGGGATAAATCCCACGAGGAAAGGCTTTCGGTGAAATCAACCAAGTAGAGTCAAAAATGGGGTATTGAGAGTACAACGTGGTCACGGTGTTTGCGAACTACAGAGTGACAGCTTTCATGTTTCTTGGTGTCATTTCTATGTTCATTAATGCGGGTCAGAAGGTGCCGTCTAGTTTCTTCAATGGAAGGGGCTTCATAGTCGTTGCATTTAATACAGATGACTTCTGTCTTTTGTCCCAATTTATTTGATCTTTAATGAGTTTATCTAATCTTTTTGGGATCGTATAGTGTTTTTAACACAGTTATGGTCGATCGAAAGCTTAATTATAGTCGTGTACTGGCGTCAAATAATTCTTGATGTTAAGTATAGTGTCTAAACCTATTTTTTTAATTCGTACTGATTTTTTCCGTCAATCCTTTAATGTAGGGGTGCCTTTAATAATAATATTTAATTACAATTAAAAATGCACAACAACAAGGACGTTACGCTTGAGCCCATCTTCGGCGATGTCATGCAAACACATTTTAGTTGTTCCGTATTATCATTTATTGTTAATTATTATTAAATATAATTATTCCGCTAACCCACGCACCAACAACCGGGTTGTACTCTCACTGACCACTTTTAATTCTACTTGGTTGAAAACCTTAAACATCTCGAGTGACTCGTGATCCCTCGCGAGGACATAGATCGAGCCGATGGCTCCGAGCTTCCGCCGAGCAACGGGCACGGATTTTCGGTCAGTGACTCGTAGTCGAATCAATGGTGCAAGAATACCGTAGACAAAGTCCCGAGCTGATCTAGGCGTACCGTGGATCGGCGAGAGAGCCCCACGCAACAGGCGGGATCACAAAAATAAGTCTCGGTGGTCCAACCGCGGTGGAATTGCCTTTGCCACGCTTTTTACGCACGGAGTAGATAATTTCTTCGTTCCTTTCTACGTAATGGCCTGGCCGGGTGATCTTTTTTGCTTATTACGTCGAGAGGAGGCCGCCATGGAGAGCGAGCGACACACCAACGACGGATAGGTTGGAAAGCTACGGGAGGCAAGGTGAGATCCTCGGATGAATGAAAGGATGAATGGAGCGTAATTTCGTCCACGCTGTCGGCGACGTTTATCTGTAGTCGGGCCGTTCTTCCATCTCGGTGACGGCGAGCGCATTGTCTAGGTTCGGACGATCGCAGTTTCGCGCGTTGCAGCTGCTACGGTAAAAAAGAAAAAAAGGAGAGCACATCGCGCCGGCCAACTGCGAGGGAAACGCGAGCCTCTGTCTTACATAGATCGCAGTCCTATTTGTCAAACTCCTTTATCAGGATGTTCGGCAATATTTCCTCTGTCGTAAAACACGCGACCACCTGCTTCGGTAAATTTCATAGCGGCTGTCATTAGTCACGGTGATATCTCTATTTCGACGATATAAAAGTCGGGCGTTGCAAGAGCGAGGTGATACAAGTGCCGAGATATTCGCGCTCAGCTCGATGGCGTATATCTACGCTTTCCGCTCGCTGCATTCCGTGAATGCATAATATAAGCGTTCGCAGCTGGCAGAAAAAATATCGATGCAGCGCGCTCGTTCCTGTTCCCGCGGAGTCCCCATTACGCTGCAAGGGGAGAGAGCAAAGAGACGAGGCCTCGAGAGCAACCGCCGGGTGCACCAATCGTCATCGGGCGGCCATCCGTGAAATTCGAAACTGCTCCCGCGTTCCGCCGTTTTACGTCGCGAAACACGCGGGATCTCATAACGCGTGGGAGTGAGACTGGGAACGGTTATCGTCCGCGGTCGACGACTGTCCACCGTGGCAAGCGTGCGCGGCCTTTGTATTCCCGTCGCCGATTAAAACCACGACAGGTTCTAATTTGCGTGAGCAAGTCGGCCGTGTTCGAGACGCGAGTCCGCGCCGGGGGAAAGTCGTTTCGTCCCGCTATACAAAATAATAGATTCGTGGTTTGCTAAAGTCAACGTAACGTGTGGAACAATTCTGTGCAAGAGTGCGAATCTACAAAGCGTGTGAAAATAACCATCGTTTATCTTATTTCCACCGGATTCCGCGAAGATACACGGTAATTTACAAACAACTCCTCGAGGCATCGCTCTCGAGTAATCCTCGCGCAGTCTCAATCTGACTAAAACGTTCGCCACGCTAATTTCAACGGTGGGAGCCTGCGAGTGTCAATTTCAACCGGACAAGAAAGCGAAATGGACCGGCGGGAGGGAAACGTCGAAATTGCGCTCTCAATTTCCCAGCCGTTTTCCCGTGGCAAGAAAGGCCCGGAACGAGAGCCCGTTTTCTGTTTGCATCGACGTCCAGATCGTCGGCAATGAGAGCGCGAGGGATGATTGTTTAGCATCGTAGTTTCTTAGCAAAGCCCGCGCGCCTATCGCGGACTCGTGCTACCAGCGTGCGGTGCCCTCCTAATGGAGGATGGAATGTAGCGAGGCTACACCGGGGCGAGTAAACCGTCGGCCGAGAAGAGGCAGACGATGATCGTTCGGCGAGGGGGCGGCGGTGAAACGGTCAGGGACTTAGGCAACGAACGGCCTTAAGTAAAGCAAAGTGGGTGAGTCGTAGACGGCCAAAGTACGCGTAAAGACCAGTCTTAGAAAGAGAGACTTATCCCTATAAACCGTGGGAGTCGGCCACTAGCGCTTCTCCGACCGACCACGGCGTACACGCACTCGCTAAAACCATTGTTTACGGTCGCCCTGAACGCCCGCGTACTTTACTAACTGGGCCCTCTCACGGAGCCCCGCCACGGGACCGGACCGGACCGCCACGCCGGCTACTCTGTATGTCTTAAGGACGGAGGTAACTGTCGGAGCGAACGCAGAAAACGCCGCGCCGCGCCGCGCCGTGCCATCCTGAAAACGGACTGCTCGTAGCTGGGGCCCCGGAACGAAACCCCACGTTTGCATACGCGATCGATGCGCATCTCGCGTGTGGTCGAGGCTACAGATGATCTCGCGGATGCTCAGAGATGAATAACTGACCATCGATCTGTTGGAAGCAACTCCTGTACAATTAGAGCGTACGCGTCAGTGAGTGGCCGGTTTAAAAAAATGCCATATCAGATAATTCAGCTTAAGGGAATGCTGGAGTGCAAAAGGTGCAGAATCACTCCAGCGTCCCCTTAACAATCGAGGGTAATCAAATGGCTTTCTTCAACGACCAATATTATCCGAGTTATCTTACAATTAGCCAATTATTGCTTTTGACGCATCTCGCTTTTACTCGTGAAATAGTTTGTGATCGGTGGAGCACCGAGCTTATTAAAACGTTCGATCCGCCAGGTGTGCTTTCCTTCTGGTTACCCAAAGACGGACCAAGGGGCGATATCCGCGGCGCACAGGTCTCTTACGTAAACAGTAATGATCCGAAAGCGGCTAGCGGTTCAACTACTCGGGAACCCGCGCAGCTACCTTCCGCACACCGTATACCTTCGCTCTTCTGCCTTCGCTGCAGCGTCGATATCCCAACTGGTTGGTAATGGCGGTGCTCTCGGGACTTAACAACGCGTGACAATATGCATCAAGGAATTGCTCAAGCGCGGAACAACTCCGGCCATGCTCCTTTCTCTCTCTCTCTTTCTCTCTCTTTCGCTCCCGGCTTCCGTAAAGTGAACACCTACGAAGAAGAAGAGGCGTAGGTGCGTACACGCGTATCCTCCACCATGCGCGGGCTCTTCGTGACGGGACAGCGCGCCCGTGCGCGCGCCAGCGCTACGCGAGCGGGCCGCGAAACGCACTCGTCTTCGGACTCTCACGGGCAAAATCGTCGATACATTATGCAACTCTTCGGTCCATAAACGAACGCTCCCGCCAGGAATCCACGGCGGAATCCTGGGAAGCGTTTTCTCGCGGTGTACACCGGCTATCCTGTCGAGGGGAGCAGTCCAGTTTTCGCGGGACGTCTGGGCACCCTGATCGCCGCCCGTCATGTTTATTAATCTGATCTGCGATTGCAGCGCGCAATGCCGACAATCCTGGCCATCTTTTCCGCGATCCGCGAGAACGACTCGCGGATTTTTGCGCTTCCGCGTTTCCGCGGGTCGCGTTCTTTCTCACGATAAAATTTGACGATACGATACGAATTTAACGGACGACAGCGGAGGAGAGCGGTCTAGCTCTCTTCTTCGTTTATCTGAAGCGAAAACGTACCGGCTAGCCGCCTTGCAGATCTCGTGTCATCTTGTACCGTCAACGTCTTTAAATATTCATGCCAAAGTACTTTAGTAGACACACATAGTCCACCGTACATGCTCGATCGAGCTTTCGAGCGACAAGAAGGTACCTCTCTTTCTTTCTCATTAACCCCATTACCCGTACTTGGCCACCGCATAAGCGCGCACGTTGTACCAGCTCACCAGCAAATCACAAACGCATATATCTACATTAATGCCGGTATACATTAGTCAGTCGTGTGTACGCCTACGTGATCGTTATTACCGCCGCTCGGCCATCGATAAAACACGAAATTCGATCGTCGACTAATTCCAAGCGCTAAAATCGCGATCCCTGCTCGAGAAAGCTCTACCATTTACCATCGTTATCCTCCTCTCAAAGAATTCCGTCTCTTTTCTTTTCCCCGGCGCGGCGCACGCTATCGATAGCCGATCGTAAAAGCCGGGCGTCGTTATCGGGCCGCTGTACACTGATACCGTGCAGCGCACGCTACAACGATCGACAATCCCGCGGCACAGCGCGCGCGGTGTCCTGTTAATGAACAAAAATTCACGAGCCTACTGGAGCATGGCGAGAGAGCAACCCACGTGAGATATACGCGAGTGCATTTACACTCGCAGCTATATCGGTCGTGTCTGACAGCGCGTTGCGCTATCCCGATCGACAGCGGCGGTTTGTCTGCTGCACGCACCGGGCCGGGTCAAGTAATTCCAGTTCTCTCGTCGTTGGCGGCGGCCGGGACTCCGTCATGGAGAGGAACGTATGTAGGTAAATATAAGTTGCGCGAGAACGGCCGGCGAGAGGAGGAGAGCCGGGCCCCGAGTAAAAGGGAAAGAGACGCGCGCGGCTTTCGTGGATAAGTGACTTTCGAAGAACCACCTGTGGCACGTGCCATTAACGTGCTCCCTTGCGTGTCCGTACGTGCGCGAATGTCTCGATATCCCGCCATTGCCCGCACCGTCGCGTCGTACCGCGTGGGTGTA